ATCTGCAATACACGGCGGGGGACACGCGGAGGACGCGGTCCGGCGGTATATAGCAGACCCTGCAGCATCCAGACTTCAGTTGCCTGGTGAGGGCTAGCAGCACTAGCAGCCGAAACGTCGCTACCAGCAACACGACACCGCGAGTCATCGATTATCTTTTTTCTGTATTTATATATTTATTACAAAAAACCCCCAAAACACCAACGGGCGGAACTCGGAAGCGAGCGAGTGGGAGGGGGGGTTCGTTTGAACCCCAAACCTCCCCCCAGCCTACGCACCTGCAATATTCTTTGGAAATTAAAAAGCCCGGTATCTCCACCTGTACTTTAGGCCTATACACTAAGTTTCATAATACATAATTATGCACCGTACATGGTTGAACTCTCGACTTTGAACTTGTACCTTTTGCCTTTTATTCCCTTCCTATCCCAGTAACAGGGACGTGACAGCTGCTTGTTTTCATATGGCGGAATTTCAGTTTCACAAGCAACGTTGTTCACCCAAGCGCCATGGCTAGGTATGTGCTACACTACTTCAAGTTTCATGGGAGGGCAGAAGCTATTCGGCTCGCTTTCAAGCTGGCGGGAGTCGACTACCAAGAAAAGTACATACAATGGCCAACAGAGTGGGAGCAGAATAAGCGAAGTGAGTTACACTTGGACAAGAGATGATAGGCCCTGAATCTTGGGCATTTGTGACAAGCCATAGGTTCTGAAAAGATGGTTTTTGAATATAGCACGTGGTTTGTAAGCCCAGCCACGCATGGCTGCGAGAAAAGTACGTGAGCAAGTAATTTACGACATAGTTTGAAAAGGTTGCTTTTTGGTCGGACTGTGTACTCCTTCTACTTTACATGTATTTACCCCCGAATTGGTCGCTGCCATGGCGTCAGTAGGTCAACAGCTAAGGGTGCAACTTGTGGGCACTTGACCGTAGCGTTTACAGGTTTTTTGAGTATTTGTTTTGCTTTTGTTTTATTTTAAATTGTTAGTTTTTGTCATCAAGGGGCACAAAAAAGTAAATGATTCTTGGGGATTCTTAAGTTAATCAGCCAGTTTGAGCGCGTTCTCAAAACTGATGAAGCGTGTCCGCGGTCACTGGGACGCACGTCTGGCCCAATCAGCGCAGGCCTTTTGAAATACTTATCTATACATGGAAATGGCTCACTTTGTTCAGTTTCAGTATTTCACAATGAAAGGGGACTGGGAGGCAGAGGCCACGAGTGTCTTGTGTCACCCACTACTATGATAGAGCCTGAAGGTAAAAGGTCACGCAGCGAGCTTCGGGATCCCTCCCGTTGTCTTTCTATGGGGATTTTACATTTGGCCTTCCTATCACGTTCGATAATTGTTGGAAAAATTATTCCTAACTCAAACCACCCCATGAAACACTCATGTTGGAATTTTGCCTTTGTCTTCCTTAGGTAGGCCTAATATTTAGAAAAGGCAACTAGAATGGTTAAAAAAAACAAACTACGGCGATCTCGTACCTAGGTCTTCTTGTTCGTGCAAGTTTGTTTCCACTCCTCGTGCTTTTGTGAAAACGAGACTGTTCAACGTTGCAAAGATTTACCTACCTGCAGTCGATGGGTTCCAGATTCCGTTGAGCTGACATGACGCAGTTGTTTTTGGCAAAGCTTAGATAAAATATTAGAATCTTTCGTAAAAGTAGAATGTTGCTTTAAGTTTATTACCTTATAAATTATAGAGTTTTGTCAAGTATTTTTATCTGTTTTTACTTCTGCTTTTAAACCGTAAATATTCATCTGCTTACGAGACTGCCGCATTGCACTGTATTTCATGCATTTTAGATTTTCGGAACTGATGGGTCAATTTATGGCAGGATATTTCTCTGATTGGTCGGGTGATGTTTCAGTTTCTATAAATTGCTATACTAGCAAATTTTTCTGAAGCCCCTTTCCCGAGTTGGATGTTTAAAGAAGTAACTGAACGAACAAAAAATAGTACAAATTTTCAAATCTTTGTACGTTATTTCCCCTATCAAAGGGTTCCGGAAGCTCGCCATCAGGGCTCAACCTTTAGGCTCTATTCACATGCAATGCCTGTCTGTCAAAATAACCGACCTACTCAATAATGATGAGCATGGCACCTGCATTTTTTGCGCCCGGAGTCTCTGTGCACGGCCCACAGTTTATGTCAACAATTTATGAATAGTTTATAAGGAATGTTCATTTTCATTGTGATGAATCATCCTGTTTCTTTTTGAAAGGATATCCTACACAGCAACTCCCCGTGTTGGAAGTTGACGGGAAGATGATTGGGCAGAGCAAGGCAATCCTGCGATATGTAGGCAGAGAATTCGGTCAGTCTAGCCACTTTCCGAACTAAATAAGAGGTCTCCACCCTGCCTTGTACTGATTGTCTTCTCACTTGGTCTTTGGAAACCTATGTGAACTTATGCGACAGTTGATTGTACGGATTTGCTCAGTGGGTGGGGCAGAAAGAAAATCCACGTGTGTGCAGTCAAATGATAGATAAAGATTTTGTGATGATAGCCTGACCTGTTGGAGAGGGTCGTTTTGATTCATTTTAATGGGAAGTTATGACATGGAAACTGCGGGGGAAAAGCTTCAATCGGAAAAGTATGTGTTCAAGTTGGCAAAATGATACTTAAGAAAGACGACCTTTTGAAACAAGTCTAGCCTGTTCCAATCTGCAGCCTGTGGGAATTATTACGTCACAATAAAATGGTTAAATCCCTCAAAAATACCTGAAAGTGTCTTTCTAAGCAGGATATCCATGTATACATGTAGCAACAAAATTTATGAAACAATTCTCGGTGGAAACATAAAATCACTAACATAGAATTAAGAGGCTCCATCCCTAGGCTTTCACTCGATTACTGATGAAGAAAAGGCTAAAGACGTCATTATCACTACTGTATTAAAGTGACGCTTTGTTTTTTAGGGCTCTATGGAAATACGTCCCTAGAGGCAGCCCACATAGACCAGGTTATCGACACAGTAGACGATAGCTGGGCGGTGGTCAATGATTTGTACGTGGGCACCAAAGAGGAACAGGTAGTTCCCCGCACTGCACTTGATTCAAACGAACTGTAAAGCCTCCTCGCCTAGCGAGTCCTGATCGCAAACCGACATTCAACATATACACTTGGGACGGATGGTAAAGGCGAAGAGCGACTCTTCATTCAGGTTATTTACCTTGTGGATCACTGCGGTCCTTGTTCTAACCTTGAAAGCCTCGTGCGTGTCACATTTAGAAACATAGAATGCCACGTCTTCCCAAACTGATTACATTGGGTGACAGACACTTTGAAAGTTGGATCCTTGCAGATTTGCAGAGAAATTGTAAATGGCCAGCGGGCAGGTAATTTTGGTTGATAAACCTCACAGGCGACATGCCCACATTGTCTCATGATCACAGACTCGATGAGAGTTCGACCTTCTGTGATAAAATATGATGGGATCTGAGGTCTCAGGGATCAGATGGCACTTCAAGAAGTCCACATACCAACTGCACTTCGGTGCTTCATAGTAGGCGTACTCATGCAACTGAGAAAAAAGGGCAATCTGAAGTTTGGCATTGACGAGGTTAAAATTGAAGATTAGAAAGATCAGTACATTCAATATCATTATTTATAATAATAATAAATCAGGGGCTCTGCGTGGACATGATGGCTATCGTGCTCTAAAACAGACAGGCAACTGGCGTAGTTCAACTTTCAAACGTCCAAACATTGATCAAATGAATGAAATCATATGTACATTAGGCACAGTATCGAAACTTTAATTTCAACACAAACATTCATTACACGTGCCCCCCAGCATATTCCCATACCCCCAGGGTGCTCCCCGTTTGAATTCTGTGAAAAAATCCCGTTAAGTATATATCGGTAGTTGTAGCTCATTTTCTTGTGCTGCCCCTTGAAAAAAAGTATGTGCACCCCTGGATGCTCCCCCGCACATTTAACCCAAACTATGCCACGGAGTGAGACCACTTTTTAGTATGTCTTTGCAAAATGATAATGCCCTTTTTATGAAGGACTTAATCTTGAATCAATGGCATAAAAATATTCACTATTTATATTCATGGTAGTTTGTTTAGTGTGCACCAAAGGTTAAGTAAATGACTGCTTAGTAGGGCAGGGTCGCAAAAATCAAAAGTAACAAGTGTAATATGTTCCTTTGCCTTATTCGTTTTAGACGGCAAGCACCCGGAAGTTTCTTACAGAAGTGACCCCGTTGGTCTACGCAACATTAGACCGTCTCCTCGACTTGGAGCAGGCTGGGGAATACTTCGTCGGAAATTCGGTACGATTTGAATTATTTTTTGGCCAAAATACATAAGCCCTGGGCTGGTTTATTATATTAGTGGATCTTTCGTGCAGTTCAACATTATCATTAATTTTAATGATTGTAGGTGGTGGTTCGTAACGAATTATCACGCTGTTGTTCTAAATCACGCAATTAAGGATAATTGCATTGGCTTGCAAAAAAATTCGGACTATTTTTCCCGTCTTCGCAATCTCTGCATCATTAGGGCCTCTATTGTTACGTCGTTATAAAGGGCATTTGTCACGTGCAGATATTCGTTTGAAAGTCTTTTGAAACAGTCCATTTGATTGTGATCGGAAAGAAGTTTGGTTGAGTAGGAATATTGCCTATTTCTGCATTTACAAAATGGCGACGCTATAGAGTAGTAAAATCATCATAAAGCTGGTCTTTCTGTCATCGCTTTAAGATACTGATCAGGCCGACCACCGACCTCTTGTTTTTCACAGCGGTGATTTTGTCAATGTTTCTCGCCTTTGTTTAGATAACGATCGCCGACCTCTTCTTTTTCACTACGGTGGATTTTGTTAATTTCGTCTCCAAGGGCTCCAACTCCTTAAAGAAGTTCCCCAAGCTTATGGCCGTCAAGGGTCGTGTCGCTGATAACCCAAAGGTCGCAGCGTGGCTGGCGGTGCGTCCGCCCGAGCCCCCCTACGACGAGCCCGAATAGGGTTGAAATACGTAGCCGAGAGAGTTTGGCCGACGCAACCATCGATCCCGAGTGATCTTGATGTCTTAAAAGTCTTCAGTCAGTAAACCGTTTGAAACTTCAGTGTGCAGCTTGTAGACTTCATTATGGCAGTTAGACCTGTTTGCCTAATTGGTCTGTGTTTTATTCAAATGTATAGACACCCATCACGATTAGAATCTAGCCGGCTTAGACCAGTATAGAAAAGTACACGCTCCTACAGTCTACAGCGAAATTCAGGTTATAGTGCAAATGACTCTGAATTACAAGACTAGTACGACTGGACACATTTCTCGGTCATTTTAGTTAAAGGAATAGGACTGCAATTAGTTGGGGAAGCTGACCTGATTTGATGAACACCGGTCGTCCAATAATCAAGATTTGTTTTTATAGTATATTGAAGTTTTTCTCGGAGTTATATTCGAAAAGCTGATGGAAACCAGTTCAAGAAGCTACTGGTAGCGCACTTTCAGCACCCAAGACGGGAGGATAAGAATACCAAAGATCCAGTGACGTATCTTGTAGGTTGTAAAACTTCCATTAGTCAATCGCAAGACTGAACTAACTCACAATTATTGCAATTACTTTTTCGGGGGTGAGGGTGGTGTTATGGCATTTGCATGTGTCGGCACTCCAAAGGATTTCCGTTCTGATGTTGGGAATGCATCTTCGCACAGGTCGACTGATTCGCAAACATAAACAAATAAAAAGCTGGGCGCCCAAAATTTGGAGGAGCACAATGAAATCAAATCATGACTTTGTCGCCGTTGGTGAGGCCATTTAATCTCTTTATTTATCCTGGACCGTCTGTAACCGTACATACGATTCCTACATGGTTTATACTTTTTAGGGGGCGAACGTTAGTTATGAAGGGCCTTTTTGGAAATGGCTCTCAAGCTGCGTAGTGCAAGAAAATGAAAGTATAAAATACCGTACATTTGAAAGACGTCAACTTTAACAAATATAACTTGTTTTCATTTTAATTGATAACTATGAAGAGAATAGTAGATTACATTAAAACCAAGTACAATTTCACGGTGGACCAATGTGTTTTAATCACTTAAGAACTGAAGTCGACGGTAAAATGCAACGAAAAAAATGTACTCCTGATGGTAACTCTGGAAATCATTCCCGTTGTTTCAACAAGAAATTGCCAAGTTTTCTGGATAATTTGATTGGCACTGGATTTTGACAAATATATCCACTTTTACAATGAGAAAGTTGAGATATGGCTTAACAAAAATGTACATAATATAATATAATATTCACAAAATACTGTAAAATGTTTTTCATCAATTTCATACGTTGCAAGAGCACTGGCAGAAAGGAAACAGTAGATGGAAGAACTTGTACAACAAAACCCATGACATGGGCGTAGGCTGGGGGTGTGGGGACGCAACCCCCCCCCACCAGCAGAAGGGAGCTCCCCTTGAGGTTTTCATATTTTTTTTCCAAACAGCAGTACGTTTTTTGATTAAGGTGAAAGTACGTGGTTTTTTTTATACACGACGACCGAAAGTACAATAGCAATAAAAAAAGGAAAATGTATAGGAGGCAATCTGCTTTTCAAGTGCACACTTGCCATCCTCGTTTAAATGCTGGTAGATGGAGTTTCGCTTTCTTGAAAAGTGCACCCCGGGGGGCCAAACCAGCCTACACACCTGCATAACTTAGTGTGGTTCAACAGAATGATAAACAGGCAACAATTATTACAATCAGAGTTACAATTCAAAATATTTGTAATCATTTAAGCTTTATTATATATATAATTTTACATAAACATTATATTTGCATGTCTCACACGGGAAAGTATGTCTATAATTTAGTACTGTTACTCAAGTTGTTTGACAATAGTCTCTTGACGAACAACCAACAAAGGAATTTAACTAGCACTGATTCTGTTCTTGTCCTTTTTGTAAATAGCTTGGGAGCTCCTTCTTATGTTAGCCTTTAAATTCTAGCCAGCCTTCATTGATTCTCACGTTTACATTTTGTGAATAGATCCATTTGGTTTCACGTAACACCTAAAATGTGTTTTGTGAGCCAATGATGGCTTCACCTCTGTGCTATTCCACAAATTATTTTATGTCAAATTTTTCCACAGGCCTTTCAACATGCATGAAAATAATTGGGGCTCAAAAAACGTGCTTTTCGTGGTTTGCAAGTATTAATAAAGTTAAAGATACATGTTTCAGAACTGCTTTGTGGATAGAAAAGACAACGTGTACACAACATTTCAAAAATCTTGCATGCCCCACCAATAAAACTGCACAAACTCTATAGAGATGTGCAGTCACAACTCTATCAAATTTCACTTTAACCAAGAAATTCTACTCAAATGGGACACCAGTATCCTACCACTGTAGCTGTCCAGAACGACATGTACGCTGGGAGCTCTTCCAATGATCAGAAGTGTACAAGCCAGATGCACTGAAACTCATCTATCCTCCATGGTCTGAGGATTTGCACAAGTGATACTGCAAACTTTTGGGAGGTTGCTTAGTTTTAAAATCTTTGAGTTGTTGCCATTTTTGCACTTCAATTTTGCAAACGTTTTTCCTGAGGCGAAACCTTAAATCTCGGCGCAATCCCATTTTATTGGTGTCTAAACAGCTGTTTGTTACGAGGCAAAGGTGTGAAGAATTTTCATTTGATTCAACTTGCAAACATTTCAAAATGGTTCCTTACCTTGGGATGAAGATTATTTCCCTGAAATACCTGCTTGGGTTCTTTACTGGCTTTATACGAAAAATCAGCCATGTATCAATAAGCTCCGTTATAAAATTTCAAAAGAATAGTGGTGGAAATTCCAGCACCTTGCATAATATATGCATCCATTCTCAGAGCATTCTTTCCAGAATCAGTTCACAAGTAATTCAATGCACACTTGCAAGGCGTGCTTCCTAAGCTCTCGTGAGGAGACCACACCCAACACCATGTTTATTTCCTTGATTGAGCTCATATGCACATTCTATTGGACCATGTCCAAATCAAATGGCTGAAGCAGTGAATGATAGAGATGTCTATGGGATGTGGGCACAGATCCCAGCCAGTGGCTTCCATAAGCATAGGTGCCATTTTCAGCCAGAGCCATGACTTTTGGACATGGCCTTAATTGTTGGTCCACAGTATTAACAAAGGACCCTATCTCTCAGCCATGTTGCAGGCAATCTTCCACATTGGCTAGAGTGCAAAAGAAGACTCCACTTTGTCGATGATCATCTTGGCAATAGAAAGACTAGAGGTAGCTGCCGGTGAGGGGGCATTCCGCACGTGGAGAACGCGGCTGCCTATGGCACCCTCGCCCCCGTCAAAGACAAAGTCATCTACAAGGTTGCCTTTAACATCCAACGCTTGGGCTCTTACTCCAGATGGACCCCTGGAAAAAAATCACTGGACCTGTTTACCAACCCATTGAAAATAGCAATATTTACAGGTTTATGGTGCTAGCTGTGATTTCCTATGGTAAAATATTATCACAAAAAGATGGTTATTTGAATTTCCCATAAGCATTAAAAGAGACTTCAACTGTAATAATATTTTTACTTTACAAACCTTCCCACTGGTCACTGAAAAGTTTTCTTGTTACAATAAATCTGTTTCTCTCAAAAAATATGCATCATCATCACAAATCAAGGCAAGCACTGAAACATATGCTGAGATTTCCAGATGAGAATGACAGGAAGTTAAACTGCCCTTTTATTTAATCATTTGTTTTTAACAAACAGAAAATTTTACAATTTCAATCCAAGCATTTGTAGCCAAATCAACTGAGAAGTTTTGTCCGGAGTTTCAAACAAATGTGACAGGCCCATGCACTGATGATGCCACACATTGCTCACATGTACCCTTTCCATCCGACCCATGGAGCAAGTGGGGGAACCCACGGTTCACTGGGCACATTATCATACACGTTGACTAAGTGGGGCATCATCAGTACACAGATCTACTGAAGTGACTTGAGCCTTCTGACCTTGTGACATCTTGTAGTTTAAGCTCTGGCACGTATCTCTGGAGCTGTTTAACCTGTGCAGCAATGACGATCCCTTTGTACATTTCTCTCACTCCAAAGGCTAAGTGCTTGAACATTAACTTGCGCAGACCACTGAAATCATTCAAAAAGTCAGGCTGAAGTTGCAGTGCTGTTGTCAAGTTCTCACAAGTCATCTAGTCCTACATTTAAGCTCAAGCTACTAAACGGAACTGTGACGAGGTATTCCTTTCATGTGACAGACAGCTGAGTGATCTAGCTCATGACTGACTTTGCTTGAAGTTCAACCAACAAAAAAAAGTGGCCTGGGGCATGAATTTCATTTGTCCCAACAAGTCTATGTAAAGGTTGCGAGCAACTAAACGGTGGAAGTTTGTACAAACAAAAAAAACTGGACAAAAAAGGATCAAGTCCAGACAATGATCTGAGCTGTGGCTCAAACCTACATAAAAACAGAACACATGTGCTTTGTACAAGTTACTGGCCTGAAGTTCACATTTACTCCCAAAGAGCCTGGACTTTGCAAATAAGAACACACTAAAGACAAAAATGTCATTGAGTAAGTATCCAGGAGTAATCTATAACTTCTCATCCATACCTGGCAGGATTGCAACTGTGCACATTCAGCTCAAATATTATTGTGCCAACAGTGTCCACACTGTGCTTTTTATTCCTTCATCTGAATACAGTTCCACACATTTCCACCTCATACAGTTTCACCTACAGTTTATGCAAAGAATCCACAGTATCTTGAGTGTTTTTCTTCTTACATTTGGTACCAACATACCGGAAGCTGAGGGCATCAATTGAATCTCTGACGCTGAAATCCAGCAAGTTGTATCCTTCCCTCTTGAAAGCTAATACAGCGTTGGGCCCCAGCCACACACTGCCATCGATGCGAGGAGTAAAGTGAACGCCCAAGAATGGAAATTTGGGATCCGGTACCTGCATAGAAACAGAAATGGTAAGACAGTGCACATGAAATGAGTATTGTTCTCATTTGATCTTTTCTATGCAAATGACTCAATCATATCCATCCCATAGTGTCCAAGACACAGTTGCTGGAAAGCTGACTGAACTTCCCAAAATGCAGAATTTCAAGGGGCACCAAGCCCCATGTGGAGTGAAAAGGCTGGGTTGTCTCTCTGTCAATCTGACAAAGTCATTCAATCTCTAAAGAATCATCACATACAACAGGAAGCCCTGCTAACAAGTGGATAGTTTTGCCACTTGCTGTTCAAAGTGGCTGACCTCTGATTATTTTTCTTACCAGAATAAACAGAAAGGTTTTGAACTAGTACATTTAAAAGTGGCTAGGGCCCTGAAGATGGTCGTAGTGACAGTTCAATGTAAATTGTTAGTAAAAGCATCATAGGTGCTACATGTACATACATCCATTGATTCAGGCAAACACCATTCAAGAACAGTTTTATTAACCTCAATTGTAAAGATATTCTGTAAAAGGTTTTAAATGGCGCTTTGTTTAAAATGCTCTAAATTAAATCAAATTTTAATATTTCACTAAGCTTCATATTCCATCCTTTTCAAGTGCATCAATTTAGATTTTTGAATGGAAAACCGAGAAACACAGAAGCGGACATTTGATCTGGATTCAGGGTGAATGTGTTGCTGATGGATAGTTGTATTCTTGTCTGGTTTTAAACTTTTTTCATGATTTCTTTATACAGCAGTTTAAATCCGCCCACCACTTAGGCTCTGGACCATTCATGCTGTCTCTATCTGCTCATGTCTGCTCATGTTGTCTTTGGTAATTATGAATAGATGAGCCAGAGATTCTGCCAATACAAGTCAAGTGGCCTCTCTGTACAGAGACAGCATGTCCATTCTTCAAAATGCCATAAAAATACCCAGCATTTCTTGAGGAAACTCACAAAAGTGTATGCTTACTGGATAGATGTTCCCATTAACAAGATGGTTTTTCTCTGGTTTGAGGAGGAGGTAGTCTCCTCTGAAAGGGATGATTCTTGGAATGGGATTACAGCCAGAGAGTTGAGCCAACCTGTCCGCAAACAGACCGCCACAAGTCAGGACATAACGACATCGTACAGATCTCTGAAAAAAGAATCACCAAGAGCAATCAAGCTTAGGCAGAAAATTGTCATTTACAGTTTGAATGCCAAACAACGTATGGTAACATAAAAATACAGAATAAGTTATGCATACGTGACTGTGCAAGTCAAAAACTGTGATTTTCACATTTTAAAGTTAAATTTAAGTTAAAGCTGTTCAGCAATTTACCCCTTGGCTGCCTTGAACCGTTACTGGGTATTCAGCACCTATTTAAACAAATTGGAAAAAAAAACAGTAGAAAAAATAACAAGACAGGACATGGAATGCTGAGTGTATTTTCAGAAAGATTTATGTGAAGGATGGGGTGAGTACACTTGCTGTAAAGGTTCATTCATGCCTTTTGCAATTGCAAAATGTGAAGCACATCACACCTGACCCTATGACACATTCGCAGCGAAATCTGCTGGAGATGCAAGTGTGTTCGTCTTGTGCAAGTTGGCAGTGCACAAACTTGCTGAACAAGCTGTTGGGGTGGGTGGGAGTTAGTAAAGCTAAGGCTGAAGGTAACTAAACGTATGTTTGAGGATATTTCAACAACTGTAACTGTTACAGTACAGTTTTGCATTATTTGTCTCATAATCTTAGCTTCATAACTTACCTTTGTGTACAGGCACTACACGGAAATGGTGACTCATGTGGCATGTTCCCCCAAATTTGTTGTGTTTGAAATTTCAGTGGTATTTGAAATTTACAATTTAAAAGAGAGCACTAGAATAGACTGCATCCATTAGACAACTTGGCCCCGATATCATGGAATTGTTAGAAAATAATTATTACTGAACAAATTGGTATGGCAAGCACAAATTAGCAAAGAACCAAAATGGTTACGGGCATTTTGCCTGGCACTCCACTTTTTGAAAGGCAAAACATTTTTGAGTTAAGCAGATTTGTGTGTCACACCTCCATGAAAATGGGCCATGATATAACATGCACTTCAGAAGTCAGGCAACCAACATTTAACATGTGGAAACCAAAGCTTTACCTTCTTGTGCCATGCGGAATCCCTTGACTTCAAACTCAGTGAAGATGTGTCCTCCTCTGGCGGCGAATGTCTTGGCAAATGACCTGGCGATCTCAGCCCAATCAACAATGCCAGTGTGTGGGGAGCTGATTGCCTTCAGCCCCTGTGTGACGTTTACAATGTGCAGAGTTTGAGCATCTCCTTAAGGGTGCGATGCTAGGCTTAGGAATGCTTTGGAGATTGGATGGTACAGTAGTAGTAAGCAGCCTTTCCAGGGTAAGGATGTTTAATTACATGTATGCATTTGATTATGAATTGTACATGTACATGCATTTTTTACATGTGTGACACGATAGCATGAACTGAGTCTCAAGGCCAGTTTTTCCACAACCTTATCTCATTCTATAATAGAATGAGCAAACTGATGTTTATGGCTTTTATTCTGATGTATCCCTCTGTTTGGCATCTTGACAAAAAAAAAGAGGGTAAAAACTGATGATGGTTCCGTTTTATTTACCCAAGATGGCCTGATATGAGACTCATTTTGTCAGGATTGGTCCAAATAGAATAAAGGTGAAAAAGGAAAATTGGAATCTGCTGTGCAAATAGGTGGATATTTTGTCTAGCTATGGGGATGATGCTGAAATAACATTGGCTTGAGAGCTATTTCTCTGTTTATGCGTACTATGTTAGTTCTTCCAAATGAAACAGCAAATCCATACCATATACCATTGAATGCAAAACCCTGGGCTATCTCAAACCTGCCAAAAACCAGTCTCAGATCCCAATCATACCCGACAGTGTGGCTCCATCTCCCTGATTTCTTCAGGACCAATCACGCGCATGTCCTTCACATTGTTTTTCTGACCTCGTTCATACAGGGCCTCTAGTCGTGGGAGCTCCTCTGGCTCAAGGGCAACTATTAACTGTGACGTGAAGAACAGCGATATTGAACAGTTACATGTACATGTAGCAAGGCACAGTTAGCAAGGGGCAGCTACATGTGGGCAAGGGGGGAAGGGGAGATGGTAACAAGCACCAGAAGGGGTGGAGGTTTGAGTTCATATCAACACATTAACAACTGCACCTGAGAACCAGTTGAGCTTATTGAGTAAGAAAGGCAGAGAAAGCAAGAGTCAAAGGTTGCCAACACAAGATGGAAGCTGTCACTGATACTGACACTGTTGCACAGGCTGTTACTGCATACGTAACAGCGTAGATGAGAAATCAACTGGTCAGCTTTGCATCCAACAATCTTCAAGTGCAAACACTTGAAATTCCTCTATTCACATTAAATCTGGGTGGTAGCCAACTGGTACATGTACACGTAGTTACTTCATTTCATATTTCAAATGAATGATCTCTAGATGAACTGTGATCAAATACAATGTACATGTACTACACCCAAGAGTCTTAATTGGCTGACCTGGAACACTGTGGTACTCTTGCATGTACATGTCACATAACATAAAGTGATTATTGACATAGATTTCCATTGTTTTCTTTGAAAAAGTACATAATTTCAACAAGCTAACACAATGTTAAACATTTTAGGATAAATGTATATGTCCGCACACTTGTCCTACCTTTCCACACTTTTTGTATGGTATATTATTTTCATCACAGTACTTGTAGGTTAGATCTGCACCTTCCACACAGAGTTTAGCTTTGAGAGATCCAGGTAAATAGTAAATACCAGCATGGATCACACCGCTGTTATGGCCACTCTGGTGCATAGCTGGGAGAAGATTTTTAAAAAAAGTCAAAAACTGTACATGTAACTCAAGTCAATGTGTAATTCCAGAAATTTGGGGTCCAAAAGTGTGACATTTTTGTTTCCCTGTACATCTGACCTTTGTTATTTGCCATGGCAATATCAGGGGAACTGATTTCACACTACTTTTTGTTTGGCAGGTAATTTGAATTAATTTCATCACTCTTGGAAATTAGAAAATGTGTTCTGAACTTACAAAATGTCAGATGTGACAGGGACACGAAAAAAATGGACCCCTAATTTCTGGATTTACCCCTATGGCCAGGGAAGGGAGGGTAAGTACATGCATACTCTCCAAAGGAATTTCTCAATGGAGCTTTCATTTGCTATTTTTATCCAAATCCCGATTGCAAAGTTGTTTCCATTAAGAAACAGCACGCTTCTCCAAACCCTTCCATGTATTATACAGGGAGGACTCTAAGTTTGTAGCATAGGGAAGGTCACTGTAGGGGGGAACACTTTACTTTGACAGGAACTAATGTCTCTTGAAATGTTGAAGGACAAAGAACGTACTACAGGTTTCCTACAGGGTGGAGGATTATCTGGAGGAATTGGAATGTTCTGAGCAAAAAAAAAAAAAATAAGGATTAGGGATAAAACAGGCAGCATCATATTTCAAGGGGAACACCCTAAATGGTTTCTGTGTAGCAAGCGTGAGATGCTCCCTAGCTAAAGCTTGAGAAAAATATGCGGGGGGGGAGGAGTATTAGATTGGGTTGAACATGGGAAATGTAGAATGAATCTGTCGACATCTTGAGTAAATCTTATGTCAAGTTATGTGACTTACAAAGTTCCTTCTCCTTTTCAACCACAGCACATTTAAGGTTGGGGTGTCTTTCTTTAAGTTCCTTCGCTGCTGCAAGTCCCACAATACCTCCGCCCACAATGCACAGGTCGTAGTCCTCATTTCTGAGAAAAAAATACATGTACATGTATTTTGCAGTGGTCATGGCGGTGCATATACATGTAAAAATCACCAAAATGTCCCTTTACAGTTCTCAAGAAACTGCATGTAAGTACATGTTCCAGACTTACAAGTCTCTCATGAAGACTGATTAACATTAGAATTGGGTAAAGTAATAAAACCAATTGTGGACCAGCTTTGGGTGTCTGTTAACTTTTTACCATGATATCTGTGTCTGGGTCCATGCTTACTTTGTCATGGCTTTGTATTTATGGGATGGAACCTACCAAGAGTCCAACCATGAGTCCAACCACAAATCAATTTGTTGTCACGCATGTGTGTTGTTGCTGCTGGTTTCAAAGCTTCACAAAATTAGGGACTGCAGCCGACTGCATCTTTGAACTACCATGACTACAGACATGAGGAATGCACATGCATAATAGCAACAGCATAATACCGGAACATAAAGAGGGGGCTATGCTGGGTTACAGGGGGACCTGTACCTAATAGCCTTTGCCTATTTCCAAATATTACCGCTATGCTTAATCCAAGTAACTTGCACCCTACACTATTAAAGTTTCCCCCAAAATGTTTTAACAGCCATCAGAAAGTTATAAAGTCCTACAAAGTGAAAGTTGGCTAGGAAAATTGCCAAGCACTTACTTGGAAAACACTTAGGTATTTTAGACAAGTCTCACAGGTTTGTGCACAGGGGCATCAAGTGTTGCCTGTACCGGTGTATGGAACCCTTTCCAATTGCACTTTTTATCCACAAGTACTGCTAACATGATTCTTGCACACTGCTAGCCTTGTACGTGAATCTGGGTCATCTCGTACCTAGGACAATTCATGCCCATGTCAATTTGTACTCAAGTCAACTCATACCCCAGTCAACTCGCGCTCGAGTCAGCTCGTACCCATGTCAACTCATAACTGGGACATATCGTACCCTAGCAAACTCATGCCCCAGTCAATTCGTATCTGAGTCAACTCATACAAGTACCCTAGCATGTATTTTTATAATGCTCTTTGAAGTGACCTGCCATCCACTCATTTTAGTTGGGAGACTTGTGATAATGGGATTGCAGATGTCGGATATTTTGGAAATTTGGGGTTGCTTGGAATACTGTAAGTAGTTTTCCAATGAGCAGGTTTTCCTTTTATTGGGAGATTAGTGTTAAATGTTAACCTAATCAGAATTTCAGAAATTTCGGGGTTTTGAATTTATTTAAACATGTTTTTTTTATTTGTAATGATGGACATTTTAAGAGGCTTTTTTAATTTCACAATTTGAAGGGGCAGTGGCAGAAAAAGGGGGATTTCCTTCTCTCTTTTTTGAAAAACATTTTGAAATATGGATTGGTTTATTATTTCATGGTTTATTATTCATGCACAGCAATGAACTATCTCGTTTTTAACAGAGGGGGCCCTGAAAAGGGCCGTTTGGGTTAGTTTCCTGGTCCTGGCTGGCAGGCTTGTGCTTACAGCGATGGCCCTGTCAGATGTGGGCAGGCTACCAAAAGACCCAATGTTTTGAGCTCCCCAGCCTGGTATCTCTCCCACATCTTGAAGAGCCGGCCTTGGAGACTGCTCACCTGCCACCTCTGATACCTCTTGGATTAGAGTCCTTGACAAATCACACTTGTTGGTCAGCATAACTTGCTTTTCCGTCAGTAGCTTGACGACAGAGTAGACATGGTAGAATGCCAAATTGTGCTGACCAGCTCTGCTATTAAGCCTATGGTGCCAGCCCTCTGTATCGTTGTCTGTTTGCGCTGCTCTCATGAAAACCGACCAGGCGGGGGTCCGGATTGGATGCTCAATCAAGGTCTCTCTGATGTACTGCACAGTTCTTGAAGGGTTACACTGTTGGCTTGTCTTGACAACTTTTGGAACGCCGCAGGGATGTGCTCAGCAGGCAGGAATGGAAGGGATATCAAGCGCTTGATGTAGTCAGAGACTGCAGGCTCAGGTGTGTATGCCATCTCCAGGCCGAGCACCTGGCACTTACGCCAGACAGACTGCATCCAGTGACACAGGCAGCTGACTACTCGGACGTCTTTGAAGATGGACTGGATGGCCACCCACATGGAGATCTCAGAGTCCACAACCCTCTCCCTAACGAAACTGCCTTGCAATGGCAACTTCTTCAGGCACTTCAGCACCTACATGTACAATACATGATGTAGAAGAGAGAGAGATGCGGGCGTTGGGGGGACACAAATGCAGAAATTTTGAATGGCAGAGCATTATACATAGATCCAGGAAAACCCATCAGAATTATTTTCACTAATGCACTATGTAATGACAGGCCATCCATTATAGAGGTCTGCTTAAATTATTAGTTTGAGGATGCCAAGGCAAAGAAAGACAGGCAGATAAGAGAGTCCAAAAGTAACTGTCTCAATTATACAGAGTTTTATTTCACATTAAGTTTTGGGATTCAAATGTCCAGGTCTGATTAAAATTAACTACGTATGTACATGTACTATTCAAATCTGTTCTTATTCCTATATTATTCCTACATTGCTATACTCTTACATGTACATGTATATTCCCCCAATTCCCCGAATGCAAGGCCGGTGTGCGACCGTACATGTACACTGGTAGACTGGGCCTTCCAGGTAGCACCTAGTAATGAATAGTGTGTGGGGTAAAGGTTGAAACCCAAGTGTAAAACATTATGAGGCACCACTGACAGCCAGCTGAAGCACAATGTCGCAAGTGTGCTTCACATGAAACTTCTACACTCAAGATGGTAAATGTATTTACTCCAAAATTACTCATTTAGCCATTTGCTATGACCCTAATATTCATCAAGTCAGGTCAGACACCATAAATCATAGATTAAGAAAATGAAGAGACTACATTTACAAATCAGGTATTACAAAGTCAAAAGTTAGTTTTCGTGGCGACATTTCAATAAAAGATACTCTGTGGTGCCCATGCTGGAAAGGAAGAGTACACTCACCCACCGCACTATCTTTGCTTTGCATTTCTAAGGGGCTGGGGGCGTGCCAAATAAACTACAGCGACCCCTAAAACATGCTTTGCTACAATTGGTAGCAGAACAAAAAATGCAGAACATACATGTACATGTATGTATACAAGAAACCTTTATATATCATTTTATAGATCCAAAAAAACTGCCAGAAAACTTTACTGATGCCCTAAACTTGAAATATCTGTCAAACGAAAACAATGGGCAAAAATTATCACGTTTTATTGCACTACAATTATAAAATAATTTTGTTTGTAAAGCACCTGCCTTCTTGTAGTCTTCTTGTGTCCTCTGAGACATCATTGTAAAGGCGAGTGGTACTTGGCGTACACATGTATGTCACCGCATTTACTCTTGATGAATGCATGCACTGAAAACAGCTTAACAAATGGGTACCTAACGAGTTTGAAAGTGCCATCTAAATACCAAATTTTCGCCCTGTCCAGCAAGTCCAACTGTTCAGGGGTGAAGAATAAGAGGTGTCTCACTGCTCCAACTGAAATGTCCTTCTGCTAGAACTCCTCCAGTACAAAGTCCTCGGCCCCGGCGAAGCACAGGTCCTTCAGATCAGGGGGCGTTGACTCTGATGAACACGGTTGGCCATGCCTCCAAGATTCGACAGGTTTGGGCAGCTGGATGTTGCAGATGTTTTGCATCAGGGGGGGGGGTCAGGTACCACAAAGTCGGTTGCCACGCCGAACTCCACATTCATCGACTCTGGGGATGGTGGTGCAGCACAGTCCACACATGCATTGTAAATCCAAAATTCCAGAAGACTTGGATCTGTCATCACGCAAAGGTACATGTACGCCTCCGGCGAGAAACCAGTACTGCAGGTGTGAGGTTGCCCAAAACAGCACCTGTCGCACTGAAATACTTGATCAGATGTTTGGAAAACCCTACCACATTCAACACACAGATACTGTATCTCAATGCCAAGTCTTGATAGCTAGTAAATGTAGGAGTATAGTCGCAATTATAGTAAACTCTTTTTTTATGGGGCTTTTATAGAACAATTCTACCTGTACATGCCTTCCACCAATCAAACGCTGGACAGGAGTCGGTTTCAGCCCTGTTTACCTGAAAGAAACTGCTTCAAGTCAACTGGACCACCAGGGTCTTTTCATGAGCCACCGAAGTGAACCCTTGGTTGTGTAACCAAGGGCAGCTTTGTTCAGCAGAAACTAAATTAAGTTCAAAAGAGGGTAGTCCAACATTCGGTATGATCAAAAGCTAGCTAGTACTGTACATGTACCTCAACAAATGAAAGAAAATGCTTTTTTTAACACAGTAACTTTTCATTTTATTGATGATTAACTAGCAACCCAAGCTGATACTACCTGACAGTTTCTTAATAAAAACTTGCTTTACTATAAACGAGTATATTCAAGGATAATGTTACGTTATACAATCCTCTCCTTCTCTACAAATGTTCCATGTACATGTAAGTATGTAAAATAAATACATATACACTTCAAATAAATGAAACACCGAGGACAATTTGCTTTTGTATTTTTTTATTATAATTGTGTTATACAATATTCTCCCTCACTACAAACATTCCTTGTAAGTATCAAATAAATACATGTATATACTGTATACATGTCTATGTCGAATAAATGAAACACAGACGACAATCTTAACTACTTCAGGAGTAACACAGAAAAGTGTCCCGTAAATTGTATGAAGTACGAGTTATCCTGCGCGCGAGTGGTCTTGAGTATGAGTTGATGTGGGTACGAGTTGAGTGGGGTATGATTTGACTTGGGTATGGGCTGACTTGGGTAACAGTTTTGGGCTACGAGTTGTCTCGGGTAGGAATAAACCTTTTCAACGTTTGCAATGCATTACAGGTTTGGATGACAAACAAGCAATGTATTTTAAGCACAATGCCCTTGGAGGAGTGTACCTGCAAAACGTTAAATCTGTTTCCATTTTATTTCATACTCCAATTCAAGCCATCCTCTTCTAACACAGTGTTGCATTACTGATTTCTTCGAACTTCGAAGTTTCAAACTTGGCAGAAAAGGAAAATTTGGGGAATCCCTTCTAACAACACAAGTTTTTGTCATGGCTTATGCTTTGACTAAGATCGTGATTAATGTTCTAGTATTGTCCAATCAAAATCACAACTTGCAGCTTATTCATCCTACATGTACATGTACTGTACTTTTACCAGTCACGTTTATTTTCAGCCTGTAGAGTGACTATTGGCCTAAAAAATACAATTGCATTTAAGAGTGATTTCTTCTTCTTACAAACACTTGAAAAAATTTTGCGTTATTTTGAAAATGTTTCTTGTATAATACGCATGCATCTGAGAAGTGATGAACAGATACATAGAAATATTCTGAATAGAACTATAAATTGGTTTCTGACTGGTTCACTCCCCTCATAGGTTCGTGCAAAAAATGCACAGCTTGTTTGTCATCCAAGCAGTGTTCAATTTCTTTAAAATATCTGCATAGCAAAACTGCTATGCAACATTTTGTTTGCATAGTAATTACCTAATTTTGTGTAGCAGTTTTCTTTTTCACAATATAGCTGCATGAAATCACTGAATGTCCATATAAAAGAAAACAACAAAACAAACAATGTCTTCAACTATGGTCTTTCAAATCATTTTCAGAGCATTTTCAGATTTTTCTGAGTTCTCAGTCTAGGGCTGGAAAATTTTTAAAGGGGGTAAAGTAGGCATCAAGTACCTAAAAGTACATGTACATGAGTACTGGAAAAATACCTACGCACAGGATCTACCTAAAACGGCTGCACATGATGAACACCAATGGTTAAATTTACCTGAGTAAATGTATCCCGCCCCTACATGTATTTTCTGATGAGCGAAATTGCTCTGTTGAAAGAATCTGGCCTTTACTTGGTTTTTAAAAAAGTTTGAACACTTGTATTGGCTTTCTTGTGTGCCTGGCGATGGCTTTAATTATTTGTGAAAGGATATGTTGATGAACCCTAATGTGAAGCACTCTGATATTTTGCCTCTTGTGCCTTGCCGGAGCAATATTTTTTCCTCGAATTTCATTGTAAGTTAAATCGAAAACTCCCAACATTCTGATTCAAAAATCTCAACCCACTACAAAGTTCTGATGAAATTTTTATTTTGGCTTGATTTTTTTTATATTTTCTGAAGTCCCAAATAAACTCTTTGAAAATGCGCCAAAAATACAAAAATAATCTTCAGACAAACTTGTGGTTAGGTGAGTGGAGACAATAATTTAGCACAATTAATCAACTTCACAGAATTTCTTTAATGTTTATTTGGGTTTGGGGAATTTATTCAAGTGCGCCACGTCGGCACGGTCGGGCAACACTCAGCTGAGTTATTTTACATACATGTACATGTACAAGACAGCCCCACTTCAAGGCATGACTTCAAGGCCTGAAATCCAAACTGAAAGATTGTCCCAAACTTTGAATCCTAATATTTTCTTTTCTTGGTCTTGAAGGAGTAGAACTTGGTCTTGTCTCCTTGGTCTCCACCTTGGTCTCCAACATCAAGGTCTCGGATACAACACTGGTTTGAACGAACCCTCCCCAATTGCTTCCGAGTTCCGCTCGTTTTTTTTCTAACGAATATATAATTTTAATATACCATAATTTTCGGAATATAACCCACGGTTTATACATTGATTCTCACATGGAAAATGTCTCTGCACTTTATAATGAACTGCAGGTGGTTTACATGGCAACATTGAAAGAATGAAATCAGTCACTAAACGCCGCTCCATGCCTCAGCGCAGCCTAATCCGGGCCGCCATCCGCGCGGCAGCGGGCCAGCCACGCACACCAGCGGCGCAGCGTTCCGGGTGCGGGGACAAGGCAGTCATGTTTTCATTGGTTGCCGTTTACATTGGCTCTACTCACGTGTTGGAAATGAAGGAAACCAGTCCAGAAAGACTGAATAAACTTGTAAATGCAAGTACCGTTCACACGTCACAAATTGCATGGTACATCTTTGTTTTTGTCTTTTATGGTATTTTTTGTGTTGTTTATCATTTTACTGGTCTTAAAAAGAACTGCTGAATGGCCCACCCAGCAAGGACAATAATCCAGCCCACTAAAATTGGTAATTTCGAGGACTTGAAAAAGTTGAGGTTAAATGAAAACACTCGTTCAAGCACTACATGGACTTAATGTTACAGCTCAAGCATGTGCACCAGAAAATGGTGAGGACCCTACGGGCACTTTGAATTTTCGCTTCTAACGTTTTGTATGGAGCAATGTTTTACCTCCAATTTCACAAAAGGTGAAATTTAATCAAACTCCAAATATTCTGATTCATACATGTAAATGTCAATTTCATATACTTGCTACAAAGTTCTGATGACATGTTAATTTAGTCCGATTTTGCAATTTGTTTTCAGAAGTGCAAAATGAAACGTGCCCCAAAATATATACTTTTTTACAATTTTTAGTTAGGTGAGTGGAGGTAATAATGATTTACTAGAATTTATCTCTTTTTTAGAACTTCCGAAATTTTCTGTCGGATTTTCTGAGATTTTTTAAGAATAATGTTCACATCATTTGCTAATCACTCAGTGCCCAATTCAAGGTGCTGGGTGAAGGGCAAATTCATATACCAGACCAATAAGCCTTTTGCGAGTTAACCTTGACCCAAATCTGCTACACTGAGTTCTTTAAATTCACGTAAGCATAACCACTTGAATTCTCCATGCTAAAACCACCGTTGCTATACCTTGTGATTTGATGCAAGCTTTTGCTTAGTTACATAAGAGATGCCTTGTAACAATACACTGTTCTCAATGGCTAAGAAGGGCACAAGAGAACCAGTCCATTCCAGAGATGGTGGTTGCTATGCAAAAGCTTGCCCTGAATCACGAGGTATAGCAACAGTGTCTTTAGTCAGGGAATTCAAATTGTTTTGTTTATGTACAATCAGATAACTCAGTGTACCAGATTTTATTCAAATTTAACCTGCAAATGGTTTATTTGCAATACGCCGATGAATATATTGAAAACTGAAGTAGGGGGGCCTATACAACTCTTCCATGCATCCTTCGGTTCGTGACAAACATGGAACTTGTTCGATGTTGTGTTCCAAAGCGCATTATGGTAGACTTTTGTAGAAAAATATGTGTTCACAGTGCCAAAAGTTCAACCTTTGGGTTTCATGGTGTTAAAAACACCCCAGTTTCCCCTCATAATTTCCCTCAAACCTAAAAACCCAGCCCTTTTTTCACAACACCAACCATACAGTTATGATGTCACAGTCATCTACCTTGGGGAGTCCAAAAGTTAAAATGTTGGTCTCCCTTTAGCCCCACTGGTGTGGCATGGACTCTCACTGCCACTCCATCCTTTAGTGGTAGCAAGAGTCCGTGCCACACTAGTGGGGCTAGTCTCCCTTCTGTTATAGCCTGGGTCCCCAAATTCACAATCTTCCGATAGACTACTACTACTAGCTGTAATACAACTAACTACAACGCATACCCCGGGGCGGACATTGGACCCCACAACTCTGGGGGTATACAATGCAGTGGTGAAGTAATTCACATCTTGTTTTAGCCCCACTAGTGTGGCACGGACTCTCACTCCCGATCCATCCTTAGCCACACATCCGTATACGCAATTTCATGTCGGCATACTGAACATTTTCGGCGCACCTAAAAACCATTTACTGAATGATTTCACTCACGTTATTCAGGTATTTCCCAGTCTTTTTGCCTTTATCCATTCAATCTAACGGACTCCCTCTCACAGTCGCCATCTTTAAAATAAGGTCATTGAGCATTACTTCACTTGACCCCTTATCTTCTCGGCGGCTGTTCCATGTCAAGACATCTAAAACTGCTGCCAAAGTTTTGGAAAAGCCCATTAGTACGTGTAGTATCTTATTGCTCAGTCTGTGTATTACATATGTCTAATGACATAAATAATAATAATGTTATATGAATAACGTGGGTGAAATCATTCAATAAATGGTTTTTAGAAAGCGGAAAGGTCAAGGATCATGTCCGTGTGCAAGAGAAATTATGCCCACGATGATAAGTGGGTGCGCCGAAAATGTTCAGTACGCCAACTCGAAATTGTGTATACAGATGTGTGGGTAAGGATGGATAGGGAGTAAGAGTCCGTGCCACACTGGTGGGGCTAATCCTGTTTTAGTGTTTACAAATTACATTACACATGCAGGACATGCCCCACTAGTGTGGCACGGACTCTCACTCCCGATCCATCCTTAAGGATGGATCGGGAGTGAGAGTCCGTGCCACATAGCCACACTAGTGGGGCTAGGCTGATACTACGTTATGCATCATGTATTTACCAATACCGTTTGGATGCCATGCAAAATGACCGCAAGCTCGGAGCACAACTCCTCGCGAGTAAAAAATGGCGTGCACCGTGCAACGACATCGAGCTAAGTTTCTGGAGCTGGATGGGCGTCATATTTTGTGAACCAAACGTCCAGGCTGTTTAGTATTTGTAAGGTCACAGACAGCGTTTCTACCTCCATGCGCATATGAACATGTCCTGTACGTAGTACATGTAACCATGATGTAACACTGTCATCAAGGCGCCGCGGCGCTTTGGTCATGACTGTGGTATTGCACCTGTATACAGTCTTCATAAAATCCCTTTATCTGCCTATTACCGTAAACGCACTAGCCAAAGTTACCTGTCTGTTCAGCTTCGTTTATTTTAAGAAAGGGGTGTCACTTCTAAACAAGCAACTTTAGATTCACATTTAAAAAATATAATACACGAATATAAAATATGCCAGTGTAGTTTAAAAAATTCATGATAAAAATATAAATTGTTACTCTAAGTTGGTATTTGTATTTTGTATTATTCCAAAAAACAATATTAAATCTTTATTTTGTTGACCATACACGTACCTTTTAAGTATTGGATCGATCCACCAAATTGTACGCATGCTCAAATCAATTAAAGAAAAAGTCAATCCCGTCTAGCTTCTAGCCTTGTTATCATCCTGTTTTGAAATGTTAGTGCATAACAACGACGACGCTAGTTATTAGTTCACCCGACTAAACAACGCTAAAATCGATACACAATACATGCACAGAAGCGGCTGTCGGTTTGTGTACATTGCATGCTATTACGGAGAGACGTGCGCTCTACGCGTGAGATGCCCTGTGCCCGTTGATCTTGGTTGACGTACAAAATCGTCTGAATGCAAAAGCTTGTGGAATCTCTGAATGTCTTACTGAGTTGTACCGATAAAAGGTTTGCTTTAACCATGATGGAACAGGAACTTTCTTGCCCGGTTTGCCGGGGCCTTTATAACGCTCCAATCATGTTGCCGTGTGCCCACAATATCTGCCTGAACTGCGCTCACACTTTGCAAACGAATGGTCCAACGCATGGCAACCATCAGCACGTCCACGGCCACCCAGAGTACCTGGAGTACGGCGAAGTAGACCGGCTGAGTGAGGCAGATAGCGGGGTGGGTTTCTCGGGCTACGCGGCGAGTGCCGCCAGCTCGTCATCGAACAGCTCGAGTACTAGTGGGACCAGTGGCTACCCCTCCCTGCATGTGGATTCCCTCCGATTAATCTGCCCCCAGTGCCACCGATCTATCTATCTGGACGAAACTGGAGTGCTGAGCCTGCCCAGAAATAGAGTCCTGGAGGCGATCGTTGCTCGGTACGCTGGCCAAGCCAAGATTGCCGTTGTCAAGTGCGAACTTTGCGAAGGGAACGCTTCAGATGCCAGCGTGTACTGCGAGCAGTGCGAGGTGTTCTACTGCTTGGCATGCCGTGAAAATTGTCACCCTGCCCGTGGGCCCCTTGCAAAGCATAGCCTCATCCCTCCGGTGAAGGGCAAGATCAAGGCGCGAGCTAAGGCCCAGGGCCAGCAGTCCGGCAAGCCGTCTACCTGCTCGGAGCATACTGAAGAGAATCTGAGCATGTACTGTATTCTGTGCAAGCTACCAGTTTGTTACCTGTGTCTAAATGAAGGGAAACATGTAAATCATGAAGTCAAGGCACTTGGAGCAATGGCAAAAACACAGAAGGTTGGTATTAAAAATCGCTAAGAAAAGAAAGTAAAGAAAAGCTATATATTTTCATTCAAGACCTGATTCAGTTAAAATTAATACCTCATTTCTTTCCCAGTAGACATGATAGAGCACCTTTTCCTACCTCCAAGTTTAACTTTAAACATGTGTAATGGCTTTAGGTGCTGGGTGGGACACTTTTTGATTCTCACACACTGCAGTGTTAATTTACAGTTATTTCCTGATTACAGGTACACTGTACACCTGAAGTTCGGGAGCAGTACTACAATCCATGTAACCACACCTTCTTACATATACAATTACACTTACAGACATGATAGAAGCAGATTAAGCTTGACTGTCAAACCCTAGGGTGTTTGAATTATACACATGTACATGTACATGCACTTATACCATGTACATGTATACTCTGAATTCCAATTTTGCAACTCTGCAGTTCAATTTTTGTCATCTACCAGATGGAGTTCACATTTGTATGACCTGTACTTAACAATGCAAGTACTGATAAGAATTGAGTAAAGCTTTTATCGTACATGAACATGCAAAGGGAGTTTTAGGCTAACTCATCCAAATGTCCCTTAATTGAAGGCTGGTGATATTTACCTGTCTCTGGCAAATTTATTCTGAATGGTATTTTGTTGGACACATACAGTAAGTGTTTTTTGGTCTTCTAAATTCTTACAAATCTTAGTCTGGTTTCTGTGCTAATGTAGTCATTGGTGCTTTGTATTCACAAGGTGAGAATGAGAGCTCAGACCATTACAATTTCAGACGCCACCCCCAAGAGAAAACACCTCCAGAGCCTCGAATCAGAAAAAGAAAATGCAAAACTCTGTAATTAAATGTTTGAGTCAATTTGAAATTAACAAAAGAAGAATCTTTTTAATTTTTGGGAGCACACATCGTATATGATCTCATGATCCAGAAGACCAGACCCTACTTGAATCTGGAGATCATTTAATAACCTTTATAGGCTTAGTCATGTATACGTGTCAGAGAGGGAGCATGTATCTTGATTGAACATGGTCAAAGTTAGAGACAGCCTTGCAGCAGCAAAGGAGAAACACATTGTAAAGCAGTAGCAGAACAATTTTCAAAGTGGGAGGGCCAGTTGTCAGACCATCAGGTACAGCCATTAATAAGTAGATCCATTAATTAAGCCCCACCCGAGTATAGGACCTTCCAAAAGGGGGGAGGGGAATCCAACCTTCCAGTCGAAAAAATGGGGGACTGCTGTCCCTACCCCCACTTCACCCCCACCCACTCTTCCTTTGCCAGTGACTCTGTTTATGATCATAATGTTTTACTATTTAAAGCAAAACCAAAAAACCTTAACAAAAGTACGACAAAAGCAAAATATGTCAGACATCCCTCTCGTAGAAATTTGTTTAAATGTTAACATAAAGAAAACACAAAGTTGAGACATTTCTTCATTTTTAAATGCCAGTTTTTGCATTTATTCGTTTGTTGGTCATAAAGTCCTACATGTAGATGTTTGATTAGTATGAAAATCCAGCTTTTTCGTTTTCACCAACATCTATGTGGTTATTTGATAGCGCCATTTTGTAATGCACACGTGCTAGAGGTTTGCCTTGTCCCAACCCAATGCATGTGTACATATCACACTGATTCCACACACCATGGTCCTTGTTCCTTAGTTTACAGTGCACCCTCACATTTTCTGACTTGAATGTAGTCTGGTGTAGTTTCCAATATTGCACTTGTTCATGACTTATGATATTTCCATAATCCTACATGTAAATGTACATTGTTGTATACCAGTATGTACATGTGCTTCCCCAGAAAGTGGTGAGGGCTTGTACCAGACGGTGCTTTGATTACAATCTGATCTTTCAGGGAATCTTCCATTCCCTAGAGTTTCTTCCTGGGGCTGCAAAGTGCATCATCATTGGCCTCAGGGTCGTTGGTGTCCTTAACCCTTGGTCAAGGAATTGAGTTATTTCTGCTCTCTATGTGTACTGTGTACAGTACAGCTGTGTTGGTTCACTCTGTGGTTAGGTCCATATAATCTTGAGTAATGGGTACTACTTTTGTTTTTGAAACCCAGAGCCTAAACTACATTACCTGTGTTCTTTCCCAGATATCCGAATATTTGATCAATTATCGAATATTTGATTATTATTTTTCCAATTTGAAAATTTGAAAGTTAAATTTATAGAAAAGAAGAGAGAATTTCCTTTTTAAAATGAGAACCTTGGAGGCCCGTTTCAAGCAGATTCCAAACACTTGAAGGCAGCTGATGCCAAACAGTCCAATATAGAATCCATCCGAGAATATGGAAATAGGTTTTTGACCAAAAAAATGCAGGCACCAAGATAGTATTCTTTGTATTATTGATGCATCGATGGAAACTTTTTTGAAATAAAATATGATGAAAGCTTCGGGTCAATATTTCAATTTGAAATAAAACTGAGAAGCTGTTATACTGTAGTGATTATAATGTAAAATTGTGTGCGTTATTGCAACTGATTGTGTATACCTTTTGTTCATCAATAATCTGCTGGCCGGTACAACAGAATATTCGATCGAATTGAAGGTTGGATATTCGAATAGTCAGTTGTTAAAATTGACTCAGCCCAACTGTGTTCAACTTTATTCTTTGCATATGCCAAGTGTAAACTGGAATTTAATTTCATATGTAAACTTTAATTTACATTCTTCATACATGTACATGTACTTGGGGTATACAGTACATACATGTATAAACTGTAATGTATGTAATTTTTGTACAATGTACATGCAGTGCACATGTACCGTACATATTGTACACGTGTGTGAGATGTTGTGATTACTGTGCACATGGTGAAACCATAGTAAACCAGTGTCATGTACTACCAGTCATACAGATTGTATAGCTGCATTAGTAGGGACATCAGTACATGTAGATGTTGCACTTGTTGCCTTAAGGTTGCAGGCCAGTAAATACTGGTACTGTAGGTCCAAAATTGCCTGTGCAGACCGAATTATGAATTGTAGGCTGTCAAATTCTCTGCTATTAGAGCTTTTTGTGGCACTTGGATTAGGTGGTTTGTTAGAAAATTTATTTGACATCTAGCAGGGCCACTCCAAGCACTGACCGCCTTTCCCTCAACCAACAAATCAAGAAGCTGGAGCAAGTCTTACTTAGACAAGAAGCTGCCCAAACACCTCCTCCTCTTGTGGGAAAGCCCTTGGGCTTGCTAAGCTCAACCTTCAGCAGTTGAAAGCTTGGAAAGAGCCACCGGACAGTGCCTTCGACACCCAACACCAAGAAGCCCTGGACCAAATCTCTGGGCACCTGGTTTCTAAGAGAAACATCCAAATGGGTAAAAGGCTACTCGCCCACTTCGTATGCAAGCAGCTTCGAACCAAGCCCAGTGCTAAGCAGAAATGCTAAAAACACCGATCACCACTAAAACACAACAGCTCTTTTCAGAGCCACCACTTCTCCTAAAAGAGAAAGTTTCTTGGCTGTGTTTACTTTATCTATTATCCAGTTATTATGACCCAGAGAAAACTGAGCTCATATCACGAAAAGGAACCTCAGATTCAAAGCCAAAAGATTTGCCCACACTTGTTAAAATCTCATGCGGCTTTCCCAATCCACCCTATGAAATAACTTACCCAATCAAAGACAACATTTCATCACAAACCTCTCCAAACTAATGTATCACTCTTCCCAACAGAGAAGATAGCTCTCGGCAGAGGTTTAAATTTTGTTCCCACCCCAGGTAAACCCAACTGTCTCTCTCTTCTCCATGATATTAATAAATATCAAAGACAAATGAGAATTGCATTGCTGATGCATAACAAAGTTCTGAAAGACCAGCCTTTCAAACCTTCATCGACATCGGACTCCAAATCCACTCAAAACTCAACTCCTGAGAACTATTTGGAAGCCACCAAGATTAAACTAGCTCACATTCGTTTGAGAAATACTCGAACCTACATGTCCAAAGCCAAATTGGCAGCTATTCCCAAACTCAAAGACAACCCATCTGGTGTCATCAAACCCTACGACAAAGGCCGTGGGATTTAGGACTAAATAATGCCTCTATGTGGAAATTAATCAGACAAAGACAAACCTCCGAATAAACAGTTACTTTTGCCCCAAAAGTACCCAAGTTTATTCCCACAACAATCTATAAGAGAGTGCATCTCTGAATGAGATAGAGCCATCACTTCCTCATCCAGCAAATCTGAATCTTCTTTTTTGAGAATTTTCTTGGTGAGCTTTGCTCGATCACCACATTGTCACATTTGCACTAGTAAGCATGTTGTGGGAATTGTCAAAGCAAGCTTGGCATTTTTAAAAGCTTTGTTGGAGCACGGGCATGTATTACTGATGCTGGCACTGGTATTTGTACAATAAAATATCCAGATTATGTGCATATCAACAAGCAAATTATACTAGATACATGTAGCTCTGATTTATAACAAATATGCATACATGCAAACATGCAGTAAACCAAAAGATACTTGGAAGCCTTTTACTCATAGTTGGGTTAACTTTAGTGGTTGAAATCCCATAGCATTTGGTTTGTGACAGTTATTGAATATATTGCTTTAACACTGTACCTTGTGATAGGCTTATTTCAATAACAAAACAAACATGTAGCCAATGGCCAATCTTTTGTTGGGCTGTTTGTCGCATTCATCAAGGGGTCTTTGTTGTGCCCTTTTGATGGACCTGTGCCTCATAGTAGTCGCGTGCCAGCTATATTTAGCGCTTCAGAGGTTTTTATCAAAAGAAGTGGCAGGTGTGCAGTCAGGGTGTTTACAGTCATTTGATCAAGTGATAAAATTCTGGATGAAACCTTTAAACTACCATACAAAAAGACTATACATGTACATGTAGTTCTCACAATGTTGTGTACACCAAATAGTGTATACCGTACGTGAAATGAAAACTTTTCAACAAACTTACTTTTTCCCGTTAGATGTTGCTTAATCAAAGAAGTCATAAGCTTTTTACGCATAAAGAATCGATCAAGATA